CCCCCCCCCCCCACCAATCGCCTTCTACTTTCTCCCCCTCTTTAACGTACACATCGCTTTCACTTCATGCATCTCATTCAATTCATGATAACACCATAGGGTTTATTCAGTAAAATCCGGTCACCATGTACGATTAGTTCAACAAATCGAAGGTCCTGTTTCCGGTTGAGTCTCAAAGGAACGTAAGTCTCATTTATAGATAAGTCATAATTTACATGTCATTAATTTCAAATCTTTTCGGGTAACTAAATACTATTTGTAGAAATCCATTGTTGATAGACGGATAAAGGAACCATTTTACGGTAGATGTCTTTTTAAACTTAACAGGTTTTTAAACGTTTGAAATCGGTGTGTCATCATCATTGATATCAATTTTCCCATCATTTCCTTAAGGGAATAAGAAATAAATAATATTGTCTACACTTTCTACAACCATGTAACTAGAATGTAGTTAGCAAACCAGTACTGCAAGTGGCGTATCTAGGGGTGAGCGGGGGGGGGGGGCCCCCCCCCCCCCCCCCCCCCCTTTCCCCCAAAAAAAAAAAATCTGGGAAAAATTTGTTTTTTGGAAAAAACAAAAAAAAAAAAAGGAAGGAANNCAGATCTATGTTGTGTCTGTCTCTTATACACATCTAGATGTGTATAAGAGACAGTCCCCCATCATTACCCCCATTAATTTTAAAGACCCCTAGAAACGGCACTGAGTGCTGCTTGGCCACTCGACTTTTAAATCTCATGATTAACCATGACTTCTTTTAACTTTACGCCATCTGTTAATTTGATTTGATTTAATTATATTTAGATAAGAGATATTTCTCGACCTTATAAGGGAACATTTTCCTGGAACTGATATAATGATTTTTTCATGGATATGGTTTGATTTGATTGGCTCGTGCGCACAATGGAGCTTGATTCATGCGCAATGTACCCTATACGACTTCCAGCAGAAACGAGTTCTATTTTGCCTTTTTGCGAAATGTATAAATCCATTGATTTTGATTTATTTTAATTAACGAAATTCTAAACATATAGTATATATTGATATAATAATAATAATAATAATAATAACAATAATAATAATAATAATAATAATAATAATAATAATAATAATAATAATAATAATAATAATAATAATAATAATAGGCAGCCTAGGAATTTGTACCGCGCCTTTTGCCAAGGGATACAAATATTATTATTATCATATTGCATTTATAATTGATAAGATACTAAAATTAATAAACCTAGTCTAGGCTAGATTAGAGCCTAGAACCTAACATGGAATTTTCGTAAACACCGTGTGCATTGTATACTCTCTTTAACACAATTAAATCTTCCTATATTTAAAGCCGATGTTAGCCCTGTCTCGTGCCAATCTAGGTCACTTTAGATAGGCTTTCTTCGTTAAGGCTTTGAATAGATGTCTTGTTGTGGAGCAGGAAATCAAGTCCCCCCCCGCCTGATTGTAAATCGACAGAAAATCAACCGATAGCAAATTTATAAATCCATTGACTTCGATTTATTGGAATTACCAAAATTGTAAGCATATTATATATTGATTTGATAACAATTTGACATGAAATGCTACTGATATCAACGAAAAGAAGACCTTATGACAGATGACAGAAACTTGTTTATGAAAATTATTTTAATTGAGTTTTATGTTAAAATTCTAGCAAACCGGTCCATTTTTTTAAATTATCCTCACTATAATGGCCACGAACAATTATTTCGATGTTAACAACTACTCCAGTGCTCCGCGACAGATTTAGATCTATCGGTCGGATATTAAAACTTATCAAATTTATCTAACAAAACCGCAGTTAATATCAATATTCATTTCCTTAAATGAACTTATTTAATTCTCAGACATTCAGACATACTAATCGATGTAATAATAAACTTTCTTAAAGTTTCGTCTTCATGTAAGTATACATTAAGATAGAACAATCGGCCCCAGCTTACAGACACTCTGTCTATTTACACATTATCTTTAAATCTTATACACAAATACCCTGCTTGCATTTTTTGTAATCTGTATTTCCATTATTAACACAATCTATTGAAAAACGCTGGAATGATATTTCGAACGTTTTGTCCATTGAAAACTACATAAGAACAATTCACCGACCCTTTTTTGTTGCATGATGCGTGGCCATCAGATGAACATAATATTGACTGTCGCACCAGCTAAGGAAAGCAACACTATTGTGGAGGTTTCACCGTGCGTTCAATCAAGGAAATTCAAGAAAAATAAATTCTATTAACAACCTCCAGTGCTACTGTAATCGTGTAATCACTTTAAGATATTCAGCATAATTATTTTTTTTCATGTTTAAATCCTGCTTATCATTAAATAAAATTTTCATAAACATTTTTACACAAATATTGCACAGATATTTTCTATTTCGTCGTTTAAAATAATACCGTCGTTGATACCGTATTCTCAATTAATTATATATATATATATATA